AGAATATCAAAAGAATGCAATTTGTTGTCCCGTGCATCGCACGGGTACAATTACTAGTAATAATAATAATATAATACCAGATGCCACTTATACCAGTCAATATCAAAGAGAGGAATTAGAGAAATGAATAACATCCCAGGAAAATATCTGAGACACCTCATAGCTAAACACGTGGACCAATTATTTATTTATGCCCTTTTTTCCTTGTTAATAAAAATAATTTATTTATTTGTCTGATTATTGTAATTTATCTGGACTTCGGCTATCCAGCCCATGTTCATATAGCCTCATAAATTGGACTTTTGATTAAATTTATTTACGAATGCAACCCTGGCCCAACTTAACAATAATGTTTTCTTAATCTTTATTATTAGTTCTTCTCAATTCATTTCATAAGCAATTGTTAAATCCAGTGGAAGGGTATTATAATCTTCGTTACAAGAGTCTCCATATTTTTTAGCTACAAGATGAGCTAAAATATTTCCAGAACGTTTAACAAAATCAAAGACACAACTTTCGAATATTTTTAGCCACAAACCAACAATGTTTATTCATTTATTTATTTTTCGAAAATTACAGCTAAAAAATTGCAGAAATCAATTTTATATATTCAAGATTACATAAAAATGATGCTATAAATGATAGCAACAACCTTAACTAAGTCAAACGTAATAAACTTCACTTTCAAAAGATATTAATATTATTCACGAAATCAATATTAAATATTACTAATACTCAATATTTTCTTGGTCGGTTTACTGTTTATGCATTTAAATAAAAATTTGAACCAACTGATTGGGTGCAAATAATTGATGGGTTCTCCGGTCATCTCACATAATGTCAGCCACATATTATATTAGTTGTACTTTTTTTTCTCTTTTAATATATTATTTTATTTTATAAATTATTATTACGAAAAATTGCACAAAAGAAATTAAATGATATATTAGCAACACGATAAACATTTTTTTTTTTTTTTGGTTTCAATAATATATATTTACTATTCAACTATTCACTACTTGTGTACAATATTTATTCATTTCTTTTCTTCGATGTGCCAAATCAATAACACTTCCGTGCGTGTTTTGATTTTTATGTGTGAAAATATTTGTGTAAATCGTGTGTGCTTGTGTGTATGTTTGAGCGTGTATTTATGTGTGAAATGTGTGTTTTGGGCCGCAATAATAATAATAATAATAATAATAATAATAATAATAATAATAATAATAAGATCGAATGGACCTTCAAAATGAAGAGAAGCCAACGATGAAAGATAACATGTCTAAGAAGCAGCTTATATGCATTAGAAGACCCGATAAACGTGCAAAGTGAACGCGACTTGTTGCAAGCTATTTTTATCTGCTGAAGGCGGGACACTGAGTCGTTTCGTGTTTGCTCTTAATTTCCTAACTCGTTGGTTGGTCGGTCTCCCTTCAAACCATGTCGTGGCACATGCTCTTCGCCTACGTTTCTGACTTTGGGACGAATGTCACCGCTTACATATGTCCTATTATGTAAGGCTATTTGGTAGATTTTAACAGTTATATAATCGGGCACGTATCACACATGGTGTTTGATATTTGTGTTTATTTTTGACAAAATATATGTTACTCTTTCTTTACATAGCCGGCAAGTTCACATCAAATTAGCATTATTCTTTGATTTATATCTAAAAAGTTGAAGCTATACATACACATACATCAATAAAGAAATACAATCACATAAAATCAAGATTCCAATTGAATTTCAAATCCTCACACACAATTCCAAAATTCGATTTAGCAGAATCTCACTCACAAAAAACTCTTATTTTATGCTATAATTAAAAACTCTCAATTGAATTTCGAATCCTCTCACACCTCTCATCATTAAATTTCAAAATTACGCAACATTAAAAAAATAATAAAAAATCAATAATAATAAATTAAGAAAAAAAAAAAAAAAATCGAAAAATCGAATAGGCGGGCCCACTGAAGGTTTGGAGCATCCTCACATGGAGTTTGAAATGAAAAGAAGATTCAGACAACATCTGCCAACTCAACCTCGACCCCGCTTTCCCTTCCGCCATTAATTTTTTCTCTTTTCCTCTATTCTAAACACCAAAATCTCACTCTTCCGTTTCACAGTTAGAGAGAGAGAGAGAGAGAGAGAGAGATAATTCCAAGCCATTATTATTATTATTATTTTCCTTAAACAAATACCATTCAACTCTTTCTCTCTCTTATTCAACTCTCTCTCTCTCTCTCTCTCTCTCTCTCTCTCTCTCTCTTGTTTCCTTTCACACTGGACGAACAATCTTCCTCCGATTAAACTATTCCGCTTTACCCATTCAATATATACATACATATATAGATACACACACACAACCCCCTTTTGGACTCATCTCAATATTCTACATTTCCTCAACAAAGTGTAATCAGAGAAATCATCGAAAAGTTTATCTGGGTTTTCACCCAATCACAGGTTAGCTTTCTCCACCAAAAAGCATCTCTTTTTCTTTTCAATTTTTATTTACTTAAAAACCCTCCCTTTTTTGCTTTTTCAAATTTTCCGGCCCCATTTGTTTCTGTATCTATCTGTATCTACAGTCTCTGTGAAGCAGAAGAGTTGCGAATTTAAGTGGTAAATGAAAACGAAAGGCAGGGTTTTTATGTGGTGGTATTCTATATAACAAGGGATTGATTGATTGAACTCTACTGTATTAATAAACCCCCTCTAAATTCAAATCTATGTCCAAAATTAAAAAAAAAAAAAAATTATGTAAGAAGGACGATGCTTTTGATTTGATCGGACAGAAGTACCCCTTTGGCTGTACAATATAGCTAAAGCATCACGAGCCCCCTTCCCCCGTGGTCCACTAAATTTTCACACATCAATTTAAATTGACCTATTTTGGAACCATTATACTCATATTTACATACAGACAGTGACTTGCCACTAATATATATATACACACATATACATAATATATATATATCATACTCTGCCTTCTTTTCTGAGTGGGGGTGACAGGAAAAAAGATAAATCATAGTGTTCTCTGCTACTCATCAACTATGGGGTTTTTCAAGATTTTAACCAATTTTTATTTTTTTTAGCATTTAAATAAGCCCCCCTAACCCTAATTTTCCTTTTTTCTTTTTTTTTTTCAAGAATCATGAGAAGATTTCAGTCTACATTTACCCTAAACTGAAAGAAAAAAAAAAAAACCAAGCCATGAGGAGAAATTCGGGCTCGTCTTTTCGAAACTCCGGCGCCTACACGAGCCCCGGCACGCCGGAATACGGTGACATCAGCACCGGAGAAATACCGAAGACTTGGAGCTCGGAGCGGGTGCCACTCCCTTCCAATAGTAGTAGTAGTAGCAGCAGACGGCATGTTAGTGCTGCTGCTTTAATGCCCTTCAATAGTGGAAGGGCATTACCGTCAAAATGGGATGATGCGGAGAGATGGATTACCAGCCCTATTTCTGGCTATGGTGCTTTCAAGAACTCGATTGTTCAGCCTCAGAGACGGCCCAAATCCAAGAGCGGGCCGTTAGGGCCCGCTGGACTGGGTTATTTGCCTAATTATTCGCCTAATGTGATTGGTCACGAAGGTGGGAATATGAGGAATTTCATGGCGAATTCGCCTCTTACTACCGGAGTTTTTGTACCGGATGGTTTGTTGTCTGTTCATTACGAGGCTGCAAAGTTGTCGGATTCTTCCTACGTTGAAAATAATATCACGAGGAGTACTAGTGTGCCTGGCTTGTCGGATTTGCTCAGTGAAACTTCTGCCCTTAGTTCTCGAGGTATATGCATATATATATAAAGACTGTCTTTTTTTTGGATATAATTCGAAATATTTACGCGTTAGTGGGATTTTTTGATTGTTGTCTCGTCGATTTAATTATCCGTTTGATTGTTGTCTTGTGGGATTTTATGACAAGATTGTTTCTTGATTTAATTTCGGTTGATTGTTGATTTCGCTTAGTGGTTTGTTTGATTCTTGAATTGAAATGAGCAGACGAAAAACGAGATGTGGAAAAGGAGGAGGAAGAAGCACATGTATCAAGAAGAGATATGGCGACTCAAATGAGCCCCGAAGAAGGGAGCACTAACTCATCTACTAGAGCAAGATTGTCGTTTTCCGTTATACCTTCTTCTTCTGCGCGCCTCAGTCGGAATCATGTGACGAGAGATGATGTCAGAGATGTCCAGGTGGACAAAGGCACCACCACCACCACTTCTTCCAAGAAAAACGGACCCAAAAAGATGGATGTCAAAGATTCATCTTCTTGGAATGTTTCCGAGGCATCGAAAAACATATCAAAGTACTTACATTGGTCCTTCCTTATGAAGAAAATATATGTATATCTAATGTTGTATCTATCGACTGTTTTAAACGTTTGATTTATCGAGGATCCGGAAACTAATTTAAGCGTTATCATGTTTTTGTTTTAACGTAGGTTGCAAAGAGAGGAAGCAAAGATCACTGCTTGGGAGAATTTGCAGAAGGCGAAAGCCGAGGCAGCTATTCGGAAACTTGAGGTAATTAAAATAAATAAATAAATCATTTTTTGTAGCATCAAATGGAAGTACATAATCCTCGAGCAAGTCAAAGATGCGTTATTGTATTGCATTTTCGTCTCGTAACATCCTTCTTAATTTTTTTTATCGGATCAGATGAAACTAGAAAAGAAGAGATCTTCATCAATGGACAAAATTACGAACAAGCTTAGAGCTGCTGAGATGAAAGCACAAGCGATGAGAAACTCGGTTTCGGAGAATCGAGCACCAAGAAGTTCTCGAAGAAGGATTTCGATTTCCTGTTGTATATATTTCAAGATTCCTTCTGTCTGCAGCTGCTTTGTCTGCAAAAAGAAGTAATTTTTAAAACAAAATTAATTAATTAATCACCGAAAAACTATATCCGTCTTGGATTTAGTTGGCGATATCGTACACATGTCGGCCTTTTTCGTCTCTGTTACTTGGCGGATTGCAGAGAAAACGGAGGAAAAATGTCCAGTTATGTTGATTTTTGATCTGTCTTATGAAACATCGTACACCTGAGCCTGTCCAGTTTCTTTATCATTGCTAAATTCAAATTGTAATTGCTTTATTTAACGATTTCGAATATGTTTTCAAAAGCTTATGCAAACAATCGCAACTCGGAAGATACTGCTCTAGCAGCAAAAAGTAGCAGGAATATACCAAATTGTACTATTACATAAGTTAGCAGAAGTTTTCATAAATATCACATAAAACAACATTACCAACTTAAAAATGAAAATTTTGTCGTTTTCAAGTACAAACATTTTGTTTCCGAAAGTCGACGAGCAATCCGCAAATCTGGAGCGAAATTAGTATTAATTTTCATCGTCTTCAAAGGATGATCAGTAAGGCCTGTATCGATTATCAGGGCGTGTAGGTCTGCCGCCACTCATACTGCCACCGACACCATAACCCCACTGCCAAAAACAATGCATACAAAGAGTTAGTACAATAACACACAATGTATACTTCCATTTTCTCGTCTTTCCAATTTTTTGGGCAAGTGAAATACAAAACGAAATCATATTTGGAGTATATCGAAACTAAAAGCGGGAAGACTTCTCTTGTGCAAACCGAGCAAAAAAAATAAAATATATGTACTCACATCATCAAAATCAAGGCTGCCATACATTCGGCCATAAGCGCGCATAGGTGCACCATACCCAAAAGGTTCAGGATTATTCATCACTATATTACCACTAGGGCCAGGGCCTGGGCCAGCGCCAGCATCATCAACTGGTGTAGCTGAATCTATTGCAACCTGTAAACAAGAAAAAAAAAACTTTAAAACGATATTATAAGACAATTTTTTACCACCCAACATTTTATATGTACAACTAAAACTGTAGGTATCATCACAAAAAATCTAATGATTTTCAGGTGATGCGTGACCTCTAGTAAAAATAGTTAAGAATAGTGTTGACTAACATTTTTCTGAATCTTCAAGTATTCTCTATTGCTTCTTTTTTTTTCGTGTTATTTATAGGGTAATATGAATGGTGAATAAGTCAAGGAAATGCAAGAAAGTAAGGCGAAAAATCCAAAAAATGCATTAGAGTGTCAGAAACCGATTAAAACTTTAATACATCTTTGTATATCAGAAATAAGTCTTGCTACAAATTGTATTTCGGCGAGATTCAAGTGTCATTATAAAGCAATACACAGGGCAGCAATTCTTATCAAGATATCTGGGATTTTGATCCTATAAATGCCTACAGTGTATATTCTATATATATATTCTTGAAAGATAAAAGTAAAATAACCAAAGGTAGCACATAAAAGAAGTCCAACCTGTTGTCCACATATCTCATGAGATCTTCGAGCAACACGATCCGCAACACCATCGTCAGAGAAAGTCACAAAACCGAATCCCCGATGACCAGTTCTCTTCGGGTCCTACAAAAGTATTGCCATATTCTCAATGTATCAAAACTTGTACGGTATTTTCTTTCAACACACACACATATATATATGTATAATTAAATATTCACCTTAGGAACATAAACATCCAAGATTCGGCCGAATCTCCCAAAATAATGACGAAGATCTTCTACACTTGCCTCCTGAGGAAGCCTACCCACAAATATCTTTTTGCCCATCCCACGAGATGCCTCCCCTCCTTAATGAATATGATAAATTTCAAATTGAGATCATTTATTTAATAAGTAAAAAAAGGAGATAGGAGGGAAGTGCTTTTTAATAACTTACTTCCATGCATGGGGCCCGCATGACCGGAATGATCAAACATGGGTGGAGCACCAAGTGCAGCGTATCTTGTTGCCGCGCTGATGTAAGCATTATAAGCACCATATCCACCTGCAGTACTTGGGGGTGGTGCTCGACTAACTGGCCTGAAATCTTCCTCCTGAAGTAGGAAAAACAAATATTGTAAACTATACAATAAATACTTAAAACCATTCTACCTTTAGTGCAATTTCAAAAGGCAAACATGGGTTATGAATAAATCTCTACCTTTGGCGTGGCTCTGTCCACAACAACAGTTGAACCTCCCAATTCGTGAGTGTCGACCATCAAATCATCCACTGCTTCTGCAAATAGATCAAACGAGATGAAGGGATTGTTTTAAGGCACACGAAATAAATAACATAAATAGCACCGCATGCACAGATAATACAACTCATATCAAAACACTCTTAAATTGCAAGTACACAATTATAGAATTAGACCCTCCAAAGTTTGTTACATAAGAAACATATTAGACGCTCATTTAATCAATAAACAGTGCATGAAGATTTCATATTGAAGAGCTTTTCATTTCTAGCACATTAAAATTTGGACCTACATCTTAAGTTCATATGAACTAACAAATATAAGGGAAATGTCAATCAAAAAATGAAAAAGAAGTACCAGAATTTGCAAAAGTGATGAACCCGATTCCACGATGGCCTTTGGTGGTTGGATCCTGAGAAGATGAATGAAATTATGTGCTGCGGTATAAAAGCAACGATTATTGCATTATAGGATGAGGGAAAGGTATTGAACCTTTGGCATGTACAAATCTGTTATGTCACCGTATTTCTCGAAATGGCTGCATAAGAAGATAACAGATGCCAAAATCAGACTTGCCCAAATTTTAATATCCAGTAATATAGATAAAGTAAATTAAAACATTGCAGATTGAAGAAGTAAGTACAAGTGGAAGCATCGTTAAAATAGAAAGGGAACGTGTGAAAGAGTACAACCTTCTGAATACAGCCTCAGTGACTGATGGTGGAATCCTTGCAACAAAAATCCTGGTCACTTTCTTTGATGATGTTCTCATCTCTTCCTGTAAAAAGAAAATATAAGACGCTATAAAATACCACAAAATGAAAATCACGGAAGAAATAAATTATTAAAGAAGGTAACCTTTGGTGTGGCTATTTTGACTTCCAGCATTCTATTGCCAAGCATATGCTCACTTGCTAAAGCAGCCTGTGACTCGTACAGAGAGATAAAAACAAGGAATTATAATTTATACCACCAACATATGCAGAAAAAACTTCTAATTGGCAAAATCAAATTAACAGTGAGAAAACCTAAATAAATGCAACAGCACGAATGAACAACAATGTGTCACCTTTGTATCCTCCGCTGTAGCAAATGTTACATATCCAAAACCACGAGAACGGCCAGTGGAACGTTCCTACATAAACATTACAAAGAAGATAAATATATCCTATTTAATTTAACATTTAACATTTTAGAAACATACATTCAGTGCAGCAAAATCATATCACAGGGCTGCAATATAGTAACATAGCTAATCAAAATGTGGTTCTAACTGAATAAGCACATCGACTCAATCATAAATTATATACGAATCTTAAACAGAACAAAGTACATTTAATATACCCAATGGGGGTGAAAACACACACGAGAAATAAAGAGATAAACTACATTACAAAATTAACCAAAAAAAAAAAAAAAAAACTAACCTTCATCACAATACAATCCTCCAATTCCCCAAATTTGCTCATATATTCTCTCAATCCTTCAGTTTCCACATCCCATGGAATTCCCAAAACCTAAAATTCAAATACAAATGCAGATCAATCAGAAAAGCTTATATAAACATCAAATTCACATAACAAAAAAACTTTTTTTGTTCCTAATACACGGAAACGTTGAAACTTACAACGAGCTTTCGGTCAGACATTCTGATGGAAGATGTTGAAATGGCGGATTCGAGCAGTGCCCTTCACTTTCTCTCCTCTGACCTCTCTCTCTCTCCTCTCTCTTCTCTCCTCTCTCCTCTCTCTCTCTCTCACACCAACTCACAATCTCGCTCACGCACTCTTCCTGCACACAACACAACAATAGGGGCACCTCTTTCTCACAACACACAATCATTATATACCAAAACAAACTCACCATATTTCTCAGAATTCTTACGCATACGAAATACCTAACAGACAAAATAGATTGATAAATAAACATTGCAGAATAACTTCGTGCGATCGCTTCTCGAGTGACCTTTTCCTTCCAATTGGGAATTCAAAACCCTAATTCGCTCCGTTCAGCTCACGCGCTCTCCACTCTCTCTCTCTCTCTCTCTCTCTCTCTCTCTCTCTCTCTCTCTCTCTCTCTCTCTCTCTCTCTCTCTCTCTCTCTCTCTCTCTCTCTCTCTCTCTCTCTCTCTCTCTCTCTCTCTCTCTCTCTCCCCTCCCCGCTCGTCTCGCGCACGCTCAGTTTCAGATTTGTCGGGGTCACCAAATTGTGGACCTTTTTTCAGTTGTCTGCAACTAGCGACTTTCCCCAAAGTAAATTACCTAATAACGTTTTTAACGCTTTTTAACGATTATATTAATTAGGGAACTCACCACTTTTTTAGCTTAATTCCACTTTGCACCCTTGAAATATAGAATTTTGGCACTTTGCACCCTTAAAAAAAATTAATAGCACTTTACACGCCCGAAACACAATAAATCAGCTATGTAGCACGGAAACTTCAACATGTTAACGTTTTTGCGTTTCGGAAACGTTTCATGTCGGAAACTCGAAGACACATATCGGACACCTTAAGGGTCATTTTGTAATTTCTGAAAAGTTAAAAACATGTATGAATAGCAAATTTTTAAATATTTATGTTGTTTCACAAATTATTTACATGATTTATTATTTAATGATCAATTGCAAACTGATAGTTGATAGTAAAATTTATTTTGAATATGTTCGTATAAAAATATATAAAAAGAATTTATATATATAAATAAATACGTATATATGTTTATATAGAATATTTATAAATATATCCCTATATTTTTAATATTTACACGTTCCCCAAATTCCCGTATCCCCATTTTCGGAACATGCCGTCGCCCTTTCCGTTTCCGTGCTGCATAGTAAATCAGTCACAATGCACCCTCAATTGAATATTTAAAACTTAATAAGATAAATGTCAAATTAACAAATTAAATGGTTATTTTCTTCAACCTCAAAACTCGAGAGTGAAAAGTGCGAAAAATAAAATTTACTTTTTATTCTTTAATTTTCGATAATTAACCCTAATGAAATTTATTTTATTTACATATACATGTATAGCAAATATCAATAAGTTGCGAGTCGAGTTGCATTGATGTAGTCTTGCGGACCATGAGCCGGTAAACCGGGGAACACCAAACCGCCCATTCGAAACATTAGCAACAGTAAACCCTCCTTGTATTCCGGTCCGAACATATGAGGAAGCACAATCCCTCTCACCACTTCCCACATTGCATCCACTCTCTTGTTCACAAATTCCCCACATTCAAAATAATTCTTCCATGGTTCTTCTTCAAGAACCTACAATCAATATATATGCACTGAGTTATAGGTAAATTATGAAAAACCCCTCATGTTTGGGTAATTACAGCTACGTCCTCAACCATGTACTATCTTACGAAAAAACCCTCCAAAGGTAAATTTAGGGATGTTAAATCGGTAAAACCCGAAATTTCTTGTACGCCAACATTTCATACCGTTTACCGAACTGAATATACGATTTGGTTCGGTAAATAACCGAATTACATAAATTTTATGTTAAAATATTTAAAAGAAGGGGTGGTTGTAATTACCCAAACAAGAGGGGGTTTTTTCATAATTTAGCCATACCTTAGAGGGTGGCCATAAATTGCCCTTATAATTATTATATATTTTGGTTACTTACTTTGGCTTCATAAAGAGTATTGATGTATATGCATGGCCCGAAGTGCTTGAACATCAATGCGGAATCATCGAAAGGCACTCTAGGCACGATATCGTGACTATAAACGAATCTGCGGTATTTTACGCTATATTGTTCGAATTTCTCTTTCATAAACCTCCCGAATTTCGCATCTCCGACCCTAGGTTGTCCGAACGTGTACACCGCATCCAGCCTTCCTAGCATTTCCGTCTCGTCGTGCACCGCAAGAACTGCGGGGAAGAGTGCCGCGAGGGCGCCACCTAGGCTATGACCGGTGAGTATGAATTGTTTTGGCCGGTAGTTGTTACTAGTGCTCTTGAAATAGCGTTTTAGGGTTTCGGTTATGGTGTTGTAGGCGTGGTGGTGGTGGTGTTTGTCGCCGGTGTTGGTGGTGTTTTCCGGCCAAGTTCGGTCGAGTTGGAGGCCGAGGGCGTTCATGAAACCACTGGACCCTTCCGCCGCCTTCGGTGGTGCCATCTGGATATAGTTTGTGCCACGATATGTCTAAGTCGGTGCACCAATCGTCGGCGGTGAAGGGCTCCGTGCCTCGGAAGGCAACGATGATCGTGTCGGTGTTTTTGTCGAGGAGTATGAAAGCTTGAGTTGTCTCTCCCTTGTATCTCTCTGCCAAAATTAGTATTTTAGTATTTAAAGATGATGAAATTTAATTTAATTTAACTATTACCATCGCTATATGCTCCCAGCAATTCCATCTGCATATTTGACAAATTTTGGTAAGAATTTGTAATTCTTTATGAATTAATCATAGTTGAAAAATATTTTTTTTTTTTTTTAAAAAAAAAAAAAAAAAAAAAAAAAAAAAAAAAGCATCATCATCACAATAAGTAGATAAAAAAAAATCAATTAGTTAATTAATTAATTAATGATAATACCTTCCATATTTTCTCGACTACATGTCGGATAAACTCTTTGTTCTCGTACGCTAGTTTCGACGCCATAGCAGAAAGATTCGCAAAATATTTGGTAGTTCCCGGTTTGATGTTCTTGTCCAACTCCACCCTATTGTCTAAATGCCCGACTATCGACACGAAACTAGCTGTCGTTCTATCCGGAACCACCACATTTCCTTAAGAAAAACAAAAAAGGGAGCTTAAAATTAAATAATTAATCATTTTACAAAAATTAATACATAAAAATTGAAAGACTAATTAATATATTATTAGTTAATTATTACCTTTAAATAAGTTTTTCAAGAACGTGGCCAAATTACTTCTATTTCCGAAAACGTTGAGGCACGTCTCGAATCCCGAACCGATCATGGACAAACACTTCTCGTGTTTTTGCAACGCCTTTTGTAGAAACATGGAGGAAGAAAAAGCCGCTCTGCGCCTGAAGATTTCTTCCTTTACATTGTTGTGTTCGATAAAACACTTGTTCTTTAAATCACCAGAAAATAGAACGAGAAACATGTCTATCAAACCGGCTTCTCGAGTTTTCAGCAGAAGGTATTTATCGGTGGTGTGTGCATTTGGATCCATTGTGTGTATAATGTATGTATAGATTAATCGAATAGTGCAAGAAGATATATATTTATTGGATTATGTTGCGATGATCGACTCGACTACAAATGCACACATATATATAGACATTAATTCTAGCAAGAATCTTATTTACCTGCGACACAAGAAAGAGATCGAACACAAACAAGACTTATTTACGAACGAACGTACATATATTTATCGACTTAGTTAACTAGCTAGGCATGTTTTAATCAGTACCAATTAAGTAGAGAAGTTATTTAGGGTTTAGTCATAATTAGAAGTAGTGTTGAAAATTAGCTATTATTAAGTACAGTCATTTACAGAGTTGTATGAAAGAATCTAACTATGATATAATGCAAATAATGGAATATATATATGTATCAATTGACAGGGAATAACAATTAAAGTATATGATAAGAAAGGTAATGAAATATTGGAATTGCTTAGCCCTTTAACTTAGACATTCTATTTTCTCGTCTTTTTTCATTACATGCATGAAACACATTTTTGAGGTAGGAAATTCCCAGAATGCCCCTTGATGGAGAAAGCCTTTATATTTGCTTTAATTCCCGACAACGAATTGAACATGTCGCGTCGATCGTGTCTTGTTTTATTTAATTCACGTTTGTTTAATAACGTCTTTCCATTTTTGTCGTATAAATTGTTTACCATATACGTATATATCACTCGGCTCACTCATTTGCTCGGGACATTCTATATATAATTGATGGACAATTTCATAACTAGTAGCCATAAAATTTCGACTAGTGAGTAAACGATCAATTATTCAATTTTAGTACACGAAAGAATTTTGATACTAAAGCCACATAAGGTACGACACATGAACACACAAACATACATGATCACTTACACACAATCAGACACACACACACGCAGACATACATATATAAATCATTGTGTCTTGACGACTTTATTGCCATTTGAGGTAGGAACCAACAGTGGTTGAAACACGTCGGCCGATCCTAACCTAGTGGCGTTTACGTAATCTTGGGGGCAATGCGCTGGGACCCCCGCAGCTAAAAGACCGATAAAACGGAACACTCGAAGGAGGCCACCTTCTCGGAAATCCGGGCCCCGCGTGTACGAAATGGTGAAGCTTCTAATCAACTCCCAACAAGCGTTCGCCATTTTCGGTATCAGCCATATTAAGGAGAAGTAGTTCTTGTTCGGCTCTTCTACCATAGCCTATAGTTCAATATACAATATACGGGTAAGCCTCTATAAACTAGTACAGTCGGAACTAGCAAAATCCTATTAATTTAGCGAAATATTTAAATTATCGAACTAATAATTTAGTAGGTTCTTATCAAGTCGGTACAAGAAAAAACTATTAATATTTAAACAAGGTTATTAATTTATCGAGGTTCTATTGTACATACATATTATATTCATTAACATGCATGCATGATATATATATACTCCATTTATATATAATGTAATTAATAATATATACTTCCCGCATTTTAAATTAATAAACTCTCGTTTAGAGTAATTATAATTAATTAAAAAAAAAAAGGGTTTTATACCTGTCCTTTATAGAAGCTGTTGTAATAGATGCACGTGCCGAAATGCTTGAACATGAGAGTGGAATCGTCGTACGGCAGCCTCGGCACGAGGTCGAAGCTGTAAACAACTCTGTAATATTTAATGTGGTGTTTCTCTATAGTTTCTTTCATGAATTCCACGAAGTTGTGATCCCCAACTCTCGGCTGGCCGAACGTGTAGATCCCTTCGCACCTTTCGAGCAGCGACGTTTCGCCGTGGAGCGCAAGTATGGCCGGAAAGAGAACCGCCAGCGCACCGCCGAGGCTGTGGCCGGTGACGATGAACTTGGCCTTGCTGTTCTTGTCGAGGCGGTCCTTGAGGAGCTTCCTGATGGAGTAGTAGGCGGTCTCCGGCTTGCCGGAGTCTTGCTCCTCCGGCCAGCCTTTGCTCTTCTGGAGGCCGAGGGCTTTGAGGAAGCCGCCGTGCATTTTTCCGGCGCCGGGGATGTCGTACCAGGAGATGTCGAAGTCGGAGGACCATGCGTCGGCGTCGAAGCTCTCGGTTCCTCGGAACGCCACTACTACGACGTCGTTTTGGTCCTCCAGTAAAAATGCCTGTGTTGTTGTTTTCTGTTGATAGTCTGCTCACAAAAATGTGTTAGAATTAATTAAAAATTAAATAAATTAATTAGTTAATTAATATAATTAATTAAATAATTAGTTAATTAATTCGTTGATCATAATATATAATATAATAACAGGAGAAAATAGGATGAAACGATGGAGGATTAATTTTAATTCTCACCATTCCAGTAATCGTAGGAGCCAACGTAATCCATCTGCATGTACATTAAACAAAAAATAAATAAATAAATAAATTGTAACATTAGTTCAATATAAATTATTTTAATTTATAACTCAATAATGTCAAACAAGAATTCATGCAATGAAAATTATTTCAAAGGCTTGATTGAAGTCCAAAAACAGAACATTAATCATTAATGCAACATTAGATATATATTTATTAAAAAAAAATAAGAATAATAATAATAATAATA